TCCCTGGGCAGGTAAGTGAAGCGGAAGGACTCTGAGCAGACGCTGTCTGTGAGGCGCTGCAGGAACACCTCCACCTCGACGGGCTCCCTCAGCTCCAGGTGCTGGTACGGGGGGGTTTTGAAGACGATGGCGACCTGGCGGTGAACGTCGGCCTGAGAGAAATCCGCCCGCGCTTCCCAGGATTCCCGACGGAAAACCACCGCGATGTCCTCTGAGGGAAAAGGGGAGGGGACGGATGGAGAGGGGACGGACCCCAAATATTCCCCCCTCCCGGGGATACTTTGACCCCAATTAATCCCTGGGGGCGGTGATTTGACCCCAATTATTCCTCCCTCCCAGGGATACCTTGACCCCAAATATTCCCTGGGGGCAGTGATTTGACCCCAATTATTACTCCCTCCACAATTATTCCTCCCTCCCAGGGATACTTTAACCCCAAATATTCCCCAGGGGGTGTGATTTGACCCCAAATATTCCCTGGGGGTGGTGATTTAACCCCAATTATTCCTCCCTCCCGGGGCTACTTTGACCCCAAATTTTACAAGGGGGGTGATTTGACCCCAAATATTCCCCAGGGAGATAATTTGACCCCAAATATTCCCCAAGGGGGGATGATTTGACCCCAAATATTCCCCCCTCCCGGGGGTACTTTGACCCCAAATTTTACAAGGGGGGGTGATTTGACCCCAAATATTCCCCAGGGGGGTGATTTTACCCCAAATATTCCCCAGGGGGGTCATTTCACCCCCAAATATTCCCCAGGGGGTGATTTAACCCCAAATATTTCCCCCTCCTGGGGGTACTTTGACCCCAGATTTTGCCAGGGGAGTTAATTTGACCCCAAATATTCCCCAGGGGAAACGATTTGACCCCAAATATTCCCCCCTCCCGGGAGTACTTTGACCCCAAATTTTGAGGGGAGGGTTAATTTGACCCCAAATTTTGCCATGGGGGACGATTTAACCCCAAATATTCCCCCTCCTGGGGGTACTTTGACCCCAGATTTTGCTGGGGGGTGATTTGACCCCAAATATTCCCCAGGGGGGTGATTTAACCCCAAATATTTCCCCCTCCCGGGGCTACTTTGACCCCAAATTTTGCCTGGGGGGTCCCGGGGGGGTTTTTGGGGGTACCTTTCTGGACCTTGTCGCAGAGCAGGTAGAGCTCCTCCCCCCCCGTGCAGGGCCCGCTCTCCTTGTTCATGCGGCAGATCCGCAGCTCCGACGTGTTCGTGGATTCTGACGGAATTCCAACGGATTGGGATGAGTCGGGGAGAGGACCCCAAACACCCCTGAAATCCCCCAAAACCCCCCGGACCCCCCTGATCCTTCCAAATCTCCTGGACCTCACAAAGCCCCCCCCGGACTCTTCAAACCTCCCCCGGATCTCCCCAAACCCCACTGGATCCCCTAAACCCACTGAATCCCCCCAAATCCCCCCCGGACTCTCCAAACCCCCTTGGATTCCCCCAAATCCCCCCCTGAATCTCCCAAACCCACCTGGATTCCCCCAAACCCTCCCCAGATCTCCCAAACCCCCTGGATCCCCCTAAACCCCTCCTGATCCCTCCAACCCCCCCTGGACCCCCCCAAATCCCTCCCTGAACCTCCCAAACCCCTCTGGACCCTGAAAACCCCCCCCAGACCTCACAAACTCTCCCTGGACCCTCCAAACCTCCCACGGACCCCCCAAATCCCCCTGAATTCCCCCAAACCCCCCTGGATTCCCCCAAACCTTCCCTGGATTCCCCCAAATCCGTCCTGGATTCCCCCAAATGCCCCCTGAGTTTGGGGGTCTCTGGGGCTGAATTTGGGGCTGAGTTTGGGGGTCTCTGGGGCTGAGTTTGGGGCTGAGTTTGGGGGTCTCTGGGGCTGAGTTTGGGGCTGAGTTTGGGGCTCTCTGGGACCGTATTTGGGGGTCCCTGGGACTGAGTTTGGGGGTCTCACGTACTCTTGTCAAAGATGGGCTCGGACAGGACGGGGCTCAGGTGCCGGATGGGCCCTGGGGCTGAGTTTGGGGCTGTTTTTGGGGGTCTCTGGGGTTGAGTTTGGGGGTCTCACGTACTCTTGTCAAAGATGGGCTCGGACAGGACGGGGCTCAGGTACCGGGTGGGCCCTGGGGCTGAGTTTGGGGCTGAGTTTGGGGGTCTCTAGGGCTGAGTTTGGGGGTCTCTGGGGCCAAGTTTGGGGGTCTCTGGGGCTGAGTTTGGGGGTCTCACGTACTCTTGTCAAAGATGGGCTCGGACAGGACGGGGCTGAGGTGCCGGGTGGTCCCGGCTCCGTCCCGGAAGGAGGCCTGGAAGCAGATCCTGACCACGTTCATGTCGACCTCCTGGTGGTTCTTCAGGGAACCCGCTGGGAAAGGGGGGAAAACAGAGGGGAGGGGGGGGCTCAGCCCCTTGGGAGGGGGCTGGGGGGGGGCAGACGCCCACGGGCACGGAGAGGGGGGGACAGGACCCTTGGGGTGGGCACAGGACCCCCAGGTTTGGGGTGTGACCCCCAGGATGGGAACAGGACCCCTGGGATGGGGACAGGACCCCCTGGGTGGGCACAGGACCCCAGGATGGGCACAGGACCCCCAGGATGGGCACGGGACCCCCAGGTTTGGGGTGTGACTCTCAGGATGGGCACAGGACCCTCAGGATGGGCACAGGACCCCCGGGATGGGAACAGGACCCCCAGATTTGGGGTGTGACCCCCAGGATGGGCACAGGACCTCTGGAATGGGGACAAGACCCCCAGAATGGGCACAGGACCCCCAGGATGGGCACAGGACCCCCGGGATAGGCACAGGACCCCCAGGATAGGCACAGGACCCCCAGGGCGGGCACAGGACCCCCAGGGTGGGCACAGGACCCCCAAGGTGTGCCCAGGACCCCCGGGGTGGGCCCAGGACCCCCGGGATGGGCACAGAACCCTCTGGGATGTGCCCAGGACCCCCGGGATGGGCCCAGGACCCCCGGGGTGGGCCGAGGACCCCCGGGGTGTGCCCAGGCCCCCCCACCTTTGAAGGGGTCGATGCCCAACTGCAGCTTCTTCTCGATGGCCCCCTCGATCTCCTTCTTCTTCACGCACTGGATGCCCAGGTTGCTGAAACTGGGGGGGGCACAGCCGTGGGCAGGGGGGTCCCCACAGCCCAAATCCCACAGATCCGGCCCCTCCCACCCTCCTGGTGCCCAGGGAACCCCCAAAAAACCAGGGGATCCAAATTTCCATCTCCTTCAACCCTCCTGGTGCCTAGAAAACCCCCCAAAATCAGCCCTGGGTTGGAGTCAGATCCAAAGGATCCAAATTTCCAGCCCCCTCCCACCCTCCTGGTGCCCAAGAAACCCCCCCAAAAAGCGGTGCCAGCTCCAGGATTTCCAGCATCTCCTGCCCAGGGGACCCCCCAAAAATGATGCCAGCTCCAGGGGCTCCAGGTTTCCAGCCCCTCCTGCCTGGAGGACCCCTCAAAAGGGTTTTGGGGTCCCACCTGTAGCAGGGGTTGCTCTGGGGCCCGGGGGCCCCCGCAGATGTTTTTGGGGTGGTTTTGGCGTGGTTTTGGGGTCCCACCTGTGGCGGGGGTTGCTCTGGTTCCCGGGGTAACCCCCAGACTGTTTTTGGGGTGGTTTTGGCATGTGTTTGGGGTCCCACCTGTGTCGGGGGCCCCCAGAGTGTTTTTGGGGTGGTTTTGGGGTGTGTTTGGGGTCCCACCTGTGACAGGGCCCCCCCAGATGTTTTTGGGGTAGTTTTTGGGGTGTGTTTGGGGTCCCACCTGTGGCGGGGGTTGCTCTGGTGCCCGGGGTACCCCCCAGATGTTTTTGGGGTGTTTTTGGGGTCCCACCTGTGACAGGGCCCCCTGGGGTGTTTTTGGGGTGTTTTTGGGGTCCCACCTGTGTCGGGGGTTGCCCTGGTGCCTGGGGGCCCCCCCAGATGTTTTTGGGGTGTTTTGGGGGTGTTTTTGGGGTGTTTTTGGGGTCCCACCTGTGCCAGGGGTTGCTCTGGTGCCTGGGGTACC